AACACTACATTGAACGCAGTCTTGCACACCATGATGCCCAGCGAAGTATTTCCAAGAAACAGAGCCACAATGATTGCACAAGGCGTGAAAAGCGGACGCCTTAAAATGACGTGACTGTTTACACGGATTTCAATGGTGATAGCAGACGCCTACTTCTGACGTCGGCGCCATGCGGGCGTTTTTGTTTTTCTGACCCTCCGACGGGGGGGGGGGGGGGGGGGGGGGGGCCGGGGGAGGGGGCAGGGGGGGGGGGGGGGGGGAACAGGCACGTCGACGAAACCGAGCGCGCGCGCGTACGAAAGAAATGGCACCCCGTCGCCGCCGACGCGCGCGAATCGCGCACAACAACGTTCCACGCGGGTCACGCTTTAGTCTTGCGGGCAGGCACGCGGCAGCGTATACGGCGTCGTGTGCTCTTAGTACGCAATCTACAACCAACAATAGAACTCCCGTAAGAGGCGGCCATGAAAGGGGCGCGTCCGCGTCCGCCGTCGCTTGCGTCCGTCTGCTATTTCCACCCCGTCTAAACCCGTCTCCGACGATCGCCAGACGCGACCATGAAACGGCGTTACGCGGAGCTCAAGATCGTCTGTTTCTCTTGCAGAGGTTATGGTGACGTCAGAAAGACGCCGAGCTCTAAATGGCTCTGATTGAAGGATAGTGGGTAGACGTCAAAGCAAGCTGCCTTGAGGTCTACTCACTGTCCTTCAATCAGAGCCATTCAGAGCTCGGCATCTTTCTGACGTCACCGCAAACCTCTCAAAAGAAGCAGACGAACTTGCGTCCCGCATAGCGTTCCTTCATTCGCGAGCCACCGTCTAGTACAAGCGTCTGCCAGTGTTTGTGGATGTGCGGTAAAAAGAAACCGAAATAAACAAATGAAATTAACAAAGTGAATATGCAGTCATTTCAGCTGTTTTGTTGTTGTTTTCTTGCATAGCGTAGCCGATAAAGTTGGGCTAGCTGCATGACGATTCATTAAAACACGACCTAAAAATATTGACTTTAGAAAACCAGGTGAAGTGCTAAAACATTTCAAAATCATGTGCCTTCCGAAGCAAAATAAAGGAAACACGTCCTGAACAAACCGGACGCGAGCTGAACACCCGATTTCTTTCAGCCAAATGGCTCGCAAATTCTTACTTGGGTACGTTACCTTTTACTGCTGAAACCCTGGTCGCAAACACAACCATTGCATGATGCTCAGAGTACCTTAGCAGGTGTCACGGAAAGCGACACATTAATTCAGCATTTAAAGGTGCTAACGAACAAATCAAGCTAGATCGAGCAAAGTAGTTGACGTCGGACCCAATGCTTAAGCCCGTCGCGCTACGAAAACAAGCACCAACACCGCACTTTCAAAGGCGTGTACTTTAAAGGGATATCTTGGTGCAAACTTAGTCGGTTCAGAATAACTTCCACTAAACACCTCGGTGAACGCGAAATTACTCTCACACCTAAAAACCTAAGAGCAGGGGAGCTCAACAATGCACCAGTGTGTCAAACGCTCGCCAAAAGTGCCGGCTCTCATGTTTGTTGTCGTCTCAAACTAAAAATGAAAAGACGATCTTGTGATGTGTAACAAAAACAAATATTGACTTTATTGATGCAGTTTGCTTGTCAAACATAAAAAAGTGGTCGTAAAAATACTATTACGGCATGGCGAAACAATTTTACTAATATCACAGGTCAATCTTTTCTCCAATCAATGAGAGCTGAAGAAAAGTGCTAGCTAGCCAAGCACCGAGCATGACCCATAAAGGGGCAACATTCCCACCCCCCCCCCCTCTAAATGGCGTACAACCAGACTTTTGCCCGTTACTTCAAACATGTCATGAATTGCAATTACAAATCACCAAGCCCTAAATGTAATGGATTACACTTACAAATTTCTTTCCCTGAGAAGTAACGGATTACTTTACTCGTTGCGTTACAAATTACTTTAACGTTATACTTTTCCAGTATGCTTATCTAGAAAAACAATAGAAACAACTTTGATGCTTTCAAAAATGTTCTACAACATTACTTTTTATTTATCATACAGCCGCATTATGGTAGTCCTCGTCCGCCACCTGCCATCCCGCTAGCTTACAGCGACCGGAAATGATCCCTGGAATTCTGCAGACCAAGCTAGCGGTGCGCACGCTCAGTAGCAGCATCTACCACGGCTAGGAGATGCGGAGGTAAGAAACCGATCTGCGAAAGCTCCCATTAGAAACGGGCCTTTCGTGTGCTGTAAAAGTAAAAAAATAAATAAACACGAAGACGTGGTTTCTCAGAAGAAATATGCGATGTAAGGCGATGGAAAGGCGCTAGGACTACTCGGCATTGTTTTCTTGATCTTTGCTTTTCACATAGTATTTTCATGTCTTTCTAGTTGTTCTGGTTACCGTTCAGACAAAAATTAGTTTTTTTTTTCTGTTACTCACCTCTTCGCGATGGTTTTTATTTAAATTGTTTGAACTTGCTATATCTATGCGTCTGAATCGCGCGCTCATATTGCTCCAGTTTTTTTTTATTATGTTCGAGTTAAAAAAAAAAAGTAACGTGGAAATAAGGTAATACTTTACCAATCTTTTGTAACGAAATTACACTAGAAATAACTGCCGCCAAAAAGTAACTTGGCACCTAAAAATTACTTTAAAAAGTAACGAATTACTTCCCAAGTCTAGGTATAACGGCGTAAATATTGATTAAAAAAAAACATCTGTCAAGGAAGGTTTTTTTTCTGTTATCGGGACGGTGGATATCCTAGAGCCGGCCACAGACCGCCAGCGGCTCTCCATGCGCTCGGGAATTTAGCAGAGATTTTGAGCCGGCACACCAGGTTTAAAAAAAAAAAAAAACTCGTTGACGTCGATTTTTTTATTTTTTTTTGCCAGATAAACATTTCATCGCATTAACACGATATTAGCTATATGTATAGTACGACAAATGCAAGTAATGTTTTGTATTGTGATATACAGCTGAGGAATGGAATTTATTGCCTATCAATATTGCTTCAATAATCTTTAGAAATTTTTTTTACAAAGATCATTTAAAATTTTGAGTAAGCACGTTGTCCCGTGTTAGGCGGTATCACCGTGGTACGGGACATTATATACCGCAAGTTTTGCTATGGTAAGCCGCGTTTATTGTTTCTACTCTCTACTAAAGTATAGACCTCACATTTGCTACATAATTTCCGATGTATGGTGATCGCCCTTGTTCTATGATCTCCTTTGAGCGATGCCAGATTAACCGAAGAAACAAAACGTTGCGAGTAGCGCCAACATTGAACAGCGAGTAGGTGCATTATCAGTGTCGGAAACGTGTCGTCTGCAGTCACTGACCGCTTGAGGAACGCATGGTAGGGCCTATTGTGCTCACGCTTTCATGCCCTGTCATTGGTTTCTTCGGAGTTCCTATCGGCTATTGTCGTTGGCTGCCAAGTGACATTAAGATGCTCCGAACTCGCCGTGGCCTGCGTTCCTTAGGCTGAAAGTGACTACAAATTTTAGACGTATCTAAAGAAAGGCTTCATTCACAAATTTAATTTGCGCTTGTCTCCAAGCCCAGTTCACTGCCGAAGATTTTAAATCATGAAATGGTTTAGAACGCTTCTCCCCCCACCCGAACATTTCTCTGTCCGTCCGTCCGCTTCTGGACTTCCAGCAAACATTTAGCGGGGCAATCGATGGGATGTGAGCTGTACACGAGTTCAATTTCCCCGCTAAATTTAGCGGAAAAAGTCACGTAACATAACCTACGCACCAATTCAGTTGCCCCGCCAAGTTTGGGGGGGATATTGATGTCACGTGATCTGATGTCACGTGACCCATACGCCAAATAAATTTTTCCGCTAAATTTTGCGGGAAAATTTATGTCATGTTACCTGACGTCAGGTTAACCATACACCACTGTAGTTTCCCCGCTAAATTTAGAGGGAAACTTGATGTCACGTGACACGACGTGACTTGATTTATATTCTACAAGACTGTAGATAGTCTTCTCGTAAAATAAAATAACTATTTCTTAAACACTTTGAAGGTAAAGCTCGCTGCCAATTTGTTTTTATGTGTTTCGTAATATAAAGCGTTGTATTTTCTATTCATTTGCTCGAGTAAAGAAGCACTGCCTATCAACAAAACTTGGAACTACTTTCCGTTCCACGCTTGGATAGGCAATCATCACGAACAGCAGAAGAGACGGTGTGACCTAAGGAGCAAAGATAGCGTCTTCATGCAGTGCGGCTGCGTGCGCAGACTGCATTTGCGGGAAGAATCGCTTTTTATCCTGATATTATTATTCGCCGAGTGTTTTCTACTTCCAGAGCAATATTTTGCTATATATGTGTCAGGTATGCCGGAAGGTAAACGAGCGGGACTTGGTTCACCAGCAGTGCGTGTATCATACACGAGTAGATAAAGCACTATAGTTTACGAACCATCCCAGTAAATCCAGCTGTGTGAAAGTATGACTACGGTCTTTGCGGGTCGTTACTCCTCTCCCAGTAGTCAAGTGACAGTGACTGGGTGTGGGATTGGCTGGGATAGCTCGTAGCCTCCGCCGTGCCTCATCATAAGGGGAAAGGCTGTACCGCAGCTAGCAATGATTACGTCTTTCTACCTTTGTATGACCTCGTCGCCATTACATTGTTCACGGTCCGCCTCCAACGTTGCTTTATTTTTCCCTTTGCGCAACCGTGCGTGAAGCTGACACGTGAACGCGTTATTTTTATATCTCCGCTGCGTCGCCGCTGCAGTCGTCAATAAAGATGTTTCGTGGAACCGGTCTTCCTCCATCGCAACTCTCTCCACAACGGCGAATCCGTGGTTTCGCATGAGCACCGTTCGCCTTGCCTGCAGAGTTACGTGGCTCGCAGTGGGTTGCGGACAGTTCTGCTGGGCGGCGGACAAGATCTAGAAAGCTTGTTCTTTTTTTTGCTGCTGCCGTGCTTCGGGCCGCCGCCTTACGCTGTTTCCTCAACTCAATATATTTTCACAGCACGTAGAGAAAGTTTGGTAGACGTGGTAAAAGCAAGAGCGCTCCCAATGAGTCTTCCGAAAGAGTACAAGAAACTTGCTTGCGTCAGCGCTACTCCCAGCTTCAGAGAAGCCGTGTCCGTGATTATAGAGCCAATGCCCGAACTGGAGCGCGATGAAGTTTTCCTGAAGACCAAGTACGCCGGTATAAACGCCTCGGACGTGAACACCACAGCAACAAGGTGCTGGAATGAGAAACCTCCTTTCAGCGTCGGCATCGAATCTGTGGCAGAAGTGGTAGCCGTCGGCGACGGAGTCAAGCATCTGAGCATCGGCAGTGCGGTGGCAACCATCAACATCCCAGGGTTTGGGGCTTTCTCCGAGTATCAACGCATTCCAGCGTCGGAGGTGTTTCCAATTCCACGAGCAGTGCCCGAAGTTATACCGCTTCTAATAAGCGGATTGACGGCTGCGATAGGCTTGGACGAGCAAGGCAGGATAAAAGGTGGTGAAGCAGTCTTGATAACCGCAGCCGCCGGCGGACTAGGTCACCTCGCTGTGCAGTGGGCCAAGGGTGCAAAATGCCATGTCATCGGCACTTGTTCCTCGCAAGAGAAAGAATTGTACCTAAAGAGCATCGGCTGCGACAAAGTCATCAATTACAGGACGCAAGACCTAGGCGCTGAGCTGGACAAGTGCTACCCGAATGGTGTGGACGTAGTCTGGGAGACCATCGGAGGCAAGACGTTCGAAGTCCTCCTGGAGCGTCTGAGCATCAAGGGAAGACTCGTGGTGGTGGGTGCCATTACTGGGTTCCAGGGTAGCGACAAGGCCTTCCCTGATGTAGACCTCACGGACCTGCCTCAAAAGCTGCTGATTCGTTCAGCCAGTTTGAGCGGATTTTTTCTTCCACAATACACTCATCTGTTTTCAAAGTATGTGGCGAGGCTACAGACAATGCTGCAGGATGGCACGATCGTTCCGAAGGTGGACTTCGGGCTCAACGCAGACGGAGGCGAGTTTAAAGGCCTGGACGGCTGCGTTCGAGGTGTCGAGTATCTTCACTCCGGAAAGAGCGTGGGCAAGGTTGTCGTGAAGATAGACGAATCAGCCTAGGCTTTGGAACCCCTGCTATGGAACTTTGTCCTTTTTAGAATCTGCAGCAGTTCAGCGAACAACTCAGGTATTTTTTGGGTGTGGCCAAAAATATATTATGGAAAATGAGAAGTGCAATCGAAATTTTTCATACTGAAGTATTTTCACGAATGTATGCGTTATCTACATCTATACAGCGTGATGCGATTTAAGTTTAAACTTTTATTTGACTTAATTGTTTCTTCACAAGCGACTGTGCAAGCGGTATTAAGGTCAGTAACCTCTCTGAAAAGAAGCGTGTGCTCGTCTGCTGAAAGGTATAAACGGCAGACAGTATACGTTTTGTGAGCTCTTGAAATTAGGGCATATCTCTATTTTTCTCGCAATGATTACACCTATGGCAGTTGTTTCTCTTGGAATTCGGTGAAACCCTCTAGTACCGGACGCACATATATAAACACGCACGCAAGAAAGGAAGCCCACTGGTACTAAAATTATATGCAGTATACTTCATTGAATATTAGAGCTGCAGTGTTTTTTTAATTCATGCCTGCGAGACTAATCAAGATATTCTGCGCTTGTGGTGGTTGATCCAGCTTGATTGTTTTATATCCTCTATTTAGTATTCACTGTGTTTGGAATATTTTAAGAAAACTAATACCTATGGTGAATGTGCATGAATTGGAAAAGCGAACTTTCTGCGCAAATGATGGTCCCGCAAATAAAAAAGAAGTAATAATACTAGTTGTCGGTGCGTGCTTCATAGGATTTCCGATCAAGCCTCACTTCAGAACGCCACAAGAAATATCACAGAACGCAAGGTATGGAGGGATTCTCTGTCTCACATTTGGACGATGGGAAGGTAGTGCCTCATCCATTTGCCGTTTTGTGCGAGACTCCTGTCCTTGAGCTAGCCGCCCAAGCTCTGCCTCGTTTTTCTATCTTCTCTTTGGCACCCGCGGGCCCATGTCTGCCCCCCTGCGCTGAACTTTGGTGGCCATCTAGCTCCTTTGGTCTCCAATACCTAAACAAGTGTAAGAGTTAGGCTTCACTATATTGTATTTTCGTCAGCCTCTGTCACAGTAGTGCCTCAAATTCCGAACAAAGGAAAGAGCTAGGCAATTCGGGCAGATAACCTTGGGGCGCGTTTGTTTATTATTTGGCGTAGAGGACCCATAAGGTGTTAGCAGGGCGCTGGAGGTCTGCGACATACTTAAATACAAACGTAGATTATTTAGATCTGCAACTTTTCATTCTATTCTCTTTCGGGTATTTCGTGATTTTTCAACTCCAAAGGTAAACGGAATAGTTTTTCTTGGCTTCACCAGAGAACAGTGATTTTGCAGGCGCCGATTGCGGCGGATTGTCGCGCTCGCGCGTGGGTGTACACACCTCAATGTTCGGTAGGAGAGTTACTCTAACGGACACGCCGTTGGGACAACTCGGCATTAACGCAAATTTTTCCATTGAGCGAGCGCTGCGCGAGACTAATATGTGCGGATTTTCAACACGTATGACTTTATTAGGTGACGCGTTGCAGAAGTGAGTTTAGCTCTGTGCTTGTCTTGCATTGTGATCAATTTAGTCTCCACTTTTGCGAAATAAAATTTGTTTCATATGCGGACGAACTTGCTGTTTTTGTGTTGACCAAGGCAGCTTGCGCGAGGGAGTGATTATTGTTTAATTCTTTCATAGGAAACGGGTTTTGTTGTCAACTTCGACAAATGCGCCGAAATCTGGCAGTGTGACTGGGCCACCGCACCCGAACCTTTTTTCTTGAATGTTTAATGAACAGCCCAGTTTGCGAGGTATATCGTCGGTGTGCCATCCAGCACTACCGGTGCAGCAATCAACTATAGAGTGCAGTGACCGAGAGGGTGAGGAGTAAACCGGAGATTGGTACGGGTATCCTACCTCAAAACCCAATAAAAACTTTCGCAATCTGTATTATGGAATTTAAAACATAACATGACTTTTTTTCTGGAAAACTGATATCCGATTGCAGGGAACGGAATAATTTCAGAAAAACCTGGAATCCAGATAGAATTCAATAGGTTTTCTTGTTTCACAATAGGGATAACGAAAAGTTAGTTAAGCTGTGGGATAGTGTAGGGGCTTAGCTATGTTTACGTAGGCTACAGCTGTTTGTTTGTTTTTAGTTCGGGTTGACAAATTTGGTAGATTTGGAAGTGCTGTGCGGACCGCGCCGCAACCTGCAGAGGCTGCGTAGAGTTTCCGTTGATTGCATTTGGAGTTCGAGCTAGGAGCTCTCTCCTCGTACCATTTTTTTTCCGATTTGTACGTAATGGCGGTATAAGATGAAACCATTCCTTTCTAGGACAAATGGTGCTAAGGTTTTTTATTTTACGTGACGGGAGATAATTATTTTCGCGTACTGCTCCGCAACTGTGACTGCAATATGCACTGAGTGAGATTGTGGTTTCCTCTAGTGACCAAAAATGTGTCCAGGTACAATGTTTTTTTTTCTTTGCGAGACGTTTTGCTTTTGTTCAGAATATTTGCGGTCCGTTTTTCTTTTCTATAAGTATGTCATTATAGTTACCCGAAAACGACTGGACGACTATTTAATTATTTTCTCGTTGCCGATTCCTTTTATATGTCAATATATTGTTTGCACCCAGCCCCAGTAAAAACGCTTATATGTATCATAAATATTTTTGTCCAATAAACGCAAATGAAGAAAAAAGATCTTATAAGCGCATACATCTTTCAATAGTCTTACATCGTTTTTATATCTTTCAGAAGGTAATTGTATTCTCTTGTGCAATCTTATTATCACATGCGTTTATAGTGCAAAAAAAATTATTATACCTATTAGATTTTTCTCTAGAGAGGGCAGGATGTGCCTAAAGTGTGATATAAATGCCAATGATCGAAGCCTTCGGTGAAACCTTTTTTTTTTTAATTGCACTGCAAGTGCTGAATGTAAAACCGCAGCTAGCAACAAATAATATTTTTGTACTGTGGCCAGTAAACTGTATTTTTGTCCGAACGCTCAAGTACATGGATTTAACTGCGCACGGCATCCGTGTTCTGCCACTGGAAACATTTCGTTAGGAACTCCTCGATGGAGGAGTCCCTTAAGAAATGTTTGTTTCTTGTACTCTATAGTTTACGGAAGACAAGAATTAGTGTTGACAATGCAAGTGGAAAATATCTTAACAGTAAGAGAAAATTTAAATAAACATGTAGTGCACTGTTTTATGTGCCAATTTCCTGCATCGCGCATCCCCGTTCGGTCGCTGCAGCGCGAGCGCGGTCACCGGATAATCATCTTGTATGCAGCAAAATCGCATTTTTGGAGCGTTTCCGGGGCTGTCGTAGGGAGATGAAGACACATATTCAACTCGCTCATCGTCATCTGCAAGAAGTTTCCTACATCTTTGTGAAAACGGTGAGACTTGGCGTTGAGAACACGTAAAAATATTTATGGCAGCGCCGCAGAAAAATGCAGAACTCGTCGAAAGCAAGTTTCGCCAGTTTCATGGCGTGATCAAAGCTTCCTTGGCACGCATAAGCGCGGCGTCTCTCTACTTTCACACGCTTGGACACTGTGGGATTCCCCTTTGTGGGAGTACCACTTAGAAACCCAGAAGGTCCCTTGGGTTCGGATAAAGACGTGTTTATTGACTGAAATGCCAACACGCTTCGCTCTTAGACATGAAAAGTCTGGGTGCTGGCTCAATTGTCAGTATCACCCGGTCGGTTTACCGCGCTGCCGCATTAGGCAGATTCACGGAAAGTCGGAGGCCTACAAAGAAAAACCGAGCTCAGTAGAGCCAGGGCCTCCGCCGACGAGAGCCCCTGGCACTCCGTCGGGGCCAGCTTATGTAGCCTCGGAGAATGGACGCACCCGGCGAGGCCGCTAGAAGTCGCATCCATTATAACTAGGGTGTGTACTTTCCGGTGTTTATTTGTGAGAAAAATCGGCGGATGTTTTTCGGTGTTCATTTATTTTCGAAACACCGGTGTATTTCGGTGGAACATTTCACGACGTGGCTAAAATCGGTGATTATCGGTGGAAAAAAATGTGATTGATCACAAACAGAGAGATCCAATTTTATTCACATATTTCATACACTTCTCAAGGAAGCGTATATTTCGCACACCTGGTTATTATAGTAGATGCAAGCATACTTCAAGAGGCTTGCATCCGTCATGGCAGCACCTTCCTTGCGGTTCACAACCCGTAATTTTGAAAACGGACGCTCCACATTTATGCTGGACACAGGAAATCCCAAAATCTCCAGCGAGGCTTGGGACAGTAGTGGCCAGTCAGGTAAATGAAGTTTCCTAAATAACACTGGATCAACGGTGCTAGTCACATCATACTGGCGGTAACAAAAAAACTGATTCTAAGTCAGTCAGCTAGCTCTCGAGTCGGAGTACCAGCCGATAGATACTTTCATAAGGCACAAATCCCTCTGGCAGCTCCACGTTTATGCACGGATTAAAAATTGGCACGCGGAACCAGAACGACGATTCATCCATGAAATCTGTAGCGCAGTCATCCTGAGCTTTCCGCTTACTTCCCATCCTGGTGGCCTTCTACTTCGCGTGACGACGAAGGGAAGCAAGTCTCACGTTGAGAAAACTCGCAGACGCGGGACGGACGCGCTTTCTCAAACACGTCTGTAAATTTTTTTACAGAACGGTCCTCTTATATACAGCCGAAAAACTCCCCCGCCAACAAAACCCTTTTTCCATTTTCCCCAAAAGCCCATGGAAACTAAACAGATAACAAGGAACGCATCTCAGTTCTGAAAGGTCAGTAGCCCCGTACGACACGGATGTTGGCAGTGTCTTCCAGGAACCACAGCAACCTCTGAATACATGGCTTGCACCGACATTACTTGCCCAGACACAATGGAGAAAGGGCACGTGAAAGCGTACCCTCCACTGCGTTAATTTTTCCATAAAAGGGAGCCAGGGGCGACACAATGGGGGTAAGGCGTGTGAGAGCTTAGCTTCCACTGCGTTAACTGGACGCTTTTGCCCCCAGAAAGGAGGGCGAACTGACGCCACGTGCAAGCTGCAAGAATGCAGGATCCACGAGATAACACGTTTGACGA